CCGGTAAAGTGGCTGAAGCTTTAAGAACTTGTACTGCACGTACCCCTCTGAAATAAAAGAGCCCATCTCGTCTTTCACCTGCTCCAATCAGGTTCCTCGAGGGTAGGTCCTGTATAGCACAAAGATCATTAGTAAATGTGACAAGACAAGGGGTGTGATCAATCAACTGTGACACAGATATGAGATGGCAGGTAAGCCCTGGCACATAAAGAACCCTATCAAGAGTAAGATCTCGGGACAAGGGCACACGCCCTTGTAGTGTGGCATCAACAGTTCGCCCATCAAGAAGCCCGACCGGGCATTCAGGAATTCGTGTAGGTGCAACCAGACAGGAAAAATCGCCTGTAACATGATGAGATGCACCAGTATCAATAATCCAATCAGGAGAAATATGTTTACCTGACATACGATCACAAGAGCGGTTATCTGCATTAATCAAGTTTAAAAGGGCCTGAACCTGCTCGCTACTCAACGTAGCCAAACCATTTGCGCCACCGCCTGGAGGAGCAGCCCCCTCACCCAGTGCCACCGAGCTGGAAGGAACTGCCAGGGCACGAACCCCCCTTGCACGTTCGCTGCCAGAATTGCCCGAGCTCCCCTTTGCTTTATTCCGCTCTTCCCACCAATCGGGATAACCATGCAATTTGAAACATGAGGTGACATCATGTCCCTTTTGTTTACAGTGTGTACACATGAGGCGAGACCGTTCCTGCTTGTCCGAGCATCCCTTGGTCGTGCGCTCTAACTGCAAAGCAAAGGCCTGCACTTCAGTTGTTGATGCCTTGCCCCGCGATATGGCCTTGGAGTTTTCTTCTTGAAGAAATGCATGATGAGCACGGTCAATGTCTGGCAATGGGTCCTGCGACAGTAAATTCGATCTCACAGTCCCATAAACATCATCATCAATTCCAATGAGAAATAGATGAAGTTGTTCTTCATCCCGGTCCGCCGCAAATTTCTTGACAACTCCACACGTACACCGTCCGCAAGTGCAAGCGTGCAAGGGTCTCAACCTGTTCAACTCGTCGTAGAGACTCATGAGGGCCGTGTAGTAGGCATCCACCGTCATGCCTTTGGACTGCTTGCACGTTATAATTGAGGACCGCAGTTGCTGTAATCTCGGCCCATTGGCTACAGAAAATCTCTTTTCGAGATAGAGCCATAAGGGTCGAGCTTCATCGTGGAAGGGGATAGAGGCGGCCACCGATGATTCCATGCTCCGCAATATCCATGAAACCACCATTGAATTGGTTGTTTCCAGTCCAACTGTTTTGCGGCTTCCGCCGGCTTAGTCTCGGTTCCGTCAATAAAGACATGCTTCCGCCGTGCCTTCAAGGAGAGGGAGAAAGCACGAGACCACGCTACGTAGTTATCTCCCTTGAACATAACGTGAGTAATCAGATTCCCAGGCTGATCGCCTGGGCCGAGGTAGTATGGGGATGTCGGATCCACCGTTATCGTCGCACTAGGCACACTGGTGCTGTACGGCCGAGGTCTGCAATTCCGAGTTACACCACCGCCCTAGGTGGCTCTGATACCATGCTGAATAAGGAGAGAATATGCTAAATATGGAGTAAAATATTAGAGTAAATCAGTTTGTATTCATACGTTTAATATACAAGGAAGTCTGGTATATATATACTCATATGAACAAAGCTACGCTAGAGAAATAGAGCCCTTAGCCCAAAAATACACAGCCATAGGCCCATTCGGGCCTAACAGCACATCTTCCCTATACTAATAAAAATAAGATGTTCAGTCTGCTATACAATGAATCTGAGTCTGATGAGATAGGGTGCACATACCTAGATTTCCTGAATTCAGTGACAAGATTTGTAAGTTGTTGCGATGGGATGTTGTGTTTCATTCTGGGAAAATCTGATTTTCTTTGAGGAATTTTCAGTTTTCAACGGATTTGAATTTCGATGTTCTGATATGGAATCCGTTCATTAGGGAAATTAGGACCTTACCTTCGATTAAGGTGCCTGACAGCTCACCCACTGAATTACCAGTCGACTATGCTATGTTTGAAGGCTTTGGGTTTGGGGTTTCTAAGAGCATGGCTTGGAAGGTTGTCATGCTCTGGCATTTTAAAGATTGTACTTACGAAGGCAAACATAGTTATGAATTCGTAATGGTTTGCAGCCAAGATGGTGATGGTTCATGGAGCTGGAGGCAAATTGATGCTCTGCCAAATGTGCCTGTGGTTTCTCGTGAGGACTTTTATTGTAAGGGGAAGTACTATTGGCGGGTAGAAGTATATGAGTACCTGGATTCAGAACCACCTTTCTCTCAAGACCGGTTGCTATGGTTCGACTTGGAGGATGAAGTGTTTGGGACAATCGGGTTGCCAACCAGATGGGAAGATGTTTCCTTTACAGTGATGAATGAGACTATTGCTATGATTACTCGATGTCCTCCTGAGAATAGCAATTGCATTGAGATATGGTTAATGAGTGAAAATGCTGATTGTGTCGATTGGCATAAAAAGTGGAGCGTAGAATGTTGTCCAAGCACAGTCAGGCATGAGTATTGGAATCCAGTAGGGTGTGGGACGTGGGATGAATCTTGGTCGCCTATTGGAATTATTAATCAGGGCGGTGGACGTTTTCATTTGATAGCATATCCGTATATTATCAATTATCGAAGGGAGGGTGACATGGGCACAAGTTATGGTTATCCCGATGAAGAAAACTATATACCGTATTTAATATCGGTTGATATGGAAACTCAAGAAATGAAGATTATTTATTTAACAAGAAAAAGGAAGTGTGTTGAACTTATTTCAAATTCGACGGGGTACACTCAAGTTTACAAGGAAAGCAATATTCATATAACTCAAGAATGGAAGGATTTTAAGGTCCGTCCGTGTTACGGTGCGTATGCTAGAATATACAATCGAAGTCTGAAACTCGTATAGAAAACACATCCAAGTGAATAGATGTGTCGTTTTACTTGTGCAAATAGATTCTGGTTCAGTGCCTTCTTCATGTGTTATATTATTATGTATTGCACTAAAGGAATGTTATGTATACTCCTTGGGATGATGGCATGCTCGTACAACTTGTTGATGGGAGTGTCTGAACATTACTTCTATGTATTGTTGATGAGGCTATTATTTTCAGATAATTTCCTTAACTGTTAGTACAAGTGAATTTAAACATCCATATTGAGAAAAATAAAGAAACTACAAAGTGAGTCTGATTCTCTCTAATATGTATTCTGTGCCCTTTTTTCCCACCGTCCACATCTACATAGATGGGAGCTGTTTATAAATTCAAGTGAGCTGTGAGCCTGATCCTCCACAAGTAAAATAGTCAATAGGCTTAGGTATGCAAACAACATTGAATTAAAAAATAAAAGTATTTGCAGTTTTCACAAATCACAATATACTATGATACGATAGTATCTGTTATGGAAAAAATCAATTCAAATTAAATTGAAAGCCTCAACTGCTTAAGGAATAGGACCTGACAATATGTAAGACTTGAGATCAACTATCTTAAGGTTTTATATCAGAAACATGTCGCTATGAATGTTACCACTCAAACTATTCCGAGACAAATCCAACTTCCAAGTTGAAGACCTTGTATCGGGGTGAGAGGCGGTAAATGTCAGTGAGGAATACTGAGGATAGAGTCAATAAAGAAGTTGAACGACAAGTTCAAGAAGGGAAGAAGAATGGTTTTTCCTTAACAGCTTGATAGGCTTTCAATTGAGTTGCATTATTTCAGCTTCAAAGCTTGACAAATGGGGAATAGGAGTTGTATCAGCTGGGAATTGAGGCGGAAGTGAAAAAACCATACATCTATAGTCTATAGCTATACCTTGGTGATTGATCACAGAAGAAATAGGAACTGAGATGTTTCACGATTTTCGTGGAACGGGTGTGCCAAACATATTCTCAAGTTTAACGATTTTAGCAAATTTAATACTCAAATTTGATCGAAAGTAACAAGTAGAATCCGAAATTCTAACAACAGTAGCATTGAGTCATTTTTATTTAAATTTTTCATCAAAATTGAAATTGTATTTGTGACAGTATAGACATGCTATACTGTCATTGATTACCCATCAACAAAATTTTAATAGGTTTTTAAAAATATAAATAAATAGTCTTTGTGCACAAAAATATGACTAAAATGACAATGATTATATTTTAGTTCATTCCAAAATAATCTGCAATTTCTTTTTAGGTTTAAATATGGTTGTAGTTCTTGTAAATATGACACACTTTAAATATGGTTGTAGGGGTTCCTGCAATTTTTTCATCCTTATAATATGCACTATTTTGGTTTTAGTCCATCTCTAACTTTGAAACAACTCTACTTAGAAATTTTCAATTGCATAAATCTAGAAACATTTAAATTTATCATTTTATAACTTTTTTTGAGACTAGCATGAGAGTTAAAACAATATAAAACCAATTATTCACATTTTTAAAAGATGTATTAAAAACCTTCTAAAATGAAATTAAATATATTTTCAATGATATGACAAAGAATTAAAAGATAACTAAATATGACACACTTTATTTTAGATCTCGTCAATTTTTCTCATCCTTATAATATGCGTTATTTTGGTTTTAGTCCATCTCGGAATTATTGCATTGTCAAACAGAGGTTATCATCATTAGGCATGGACTAAAAGAAAATCAACATAATTTTCAGAAGCGAAAAACAAAAAAAATTATAGAATTCTAAAATAAAGTGTGCTATATTTATAGAGGGCTAAAAACATATTCCATCCGTCTTTTAAAGTTCCATACACTTTCTTTTTTGGGATGTATTTCAAAGTTTCACACACTTTCCCTTTTTGATAAGTTCTTCTTTTAAAAATACCTAATTACCCTTACTTTTTCGACTTTTTATCTTCTCTTTTCCTACTTTTTCACTTTTTCTATAATATTCATTATTTCTATTATTCAAACTTTCTTTTTATGACAACGAATTCTTAATTAATACTCCGTATCAATAGACAAATCTGTCTGGAAGATTGATATGAGATTGAGGGAGTAAAATATTTGGAATTATTCTAAATTTGAAATTAATTTCCAAAATTCTAATTTTTAAATGATGAGAGTAATTTAAATATTGTTTGGAGTTACGTAGTGCTCCGTAATTAAAATCCTAAACCCTAGGCAATGACCCAATGTAATCCGGAGTATATATTCGATATAATCACTCAGGCGTACAAGTCCTACTACCCAGGCGGTCAATTCCTACTATGGTTTAAGCTGGTTTAGCTCTATCAAAGCAATGATTTCAACCAGAATTGTATTCAAGTTTCTTTATTATCTACAGTACAGGACATGGAGAATTGCAAATTTCCAAGGGAGCTGCTGATTGAGATATTGGTGAAATTGCCGGTAAAATCTCTTATGCGATTTAAGTGTGTGTGCAAATATTTGTATGATTTGATAAAGAAGGATCATCATTTGATGCACAAATTCTATGAAATTAACAGAGAAAAATACGATTATGCTGTTATAGAGGTCGAAACTGCAGCAAGAGAATGCACTAACAAACTTTTCGGTTTGCTCAACAAAGATTCGAAGTGTGATGAGATTATATTCACATGCTTAGACATACCTGGTTCAGTTACAAGATATGTGAGTTGTTGTGACGGGATGCTATGTTTGATTCTGGGCAAGGATGATTTTGATATTTGTTCTTTAAATTGTTATTCTGGAGATATGAATTTCAATGTTTTGATATGGAACCCATTCATCAGGGAGATAAATGCCTTACCGTCTGTTGTCGTTCCCGACAACCCTCCCGCCCATGTAGCTGTCACCTATTTGCTGTTTGAGGCATTTGGATTTGGGGTTTCAAACAGCAAGGAATGGAAGGTCGTCATGTTGTGGTATTTTGATTATGATCCCAAGGATATAGACTTCACTTATGAAATTGTAATGGTTTGCAGCCAAGATGCAGGGGATGGTTCATGGAGGTGGAGAAAGATTGATGCTCTTCCAAATGTGCCTGCGAAATCTCGTGAAGATTTTTATCTCAGGGGAAAATACTATTGGCGGGTAGACTTAGAATGGTGTTGGAATTTATCCTTCTCGGAAGAGCATTTGCTGTGGTTCGACTTGGACAATGAGGTTTTTGGGATGATCCAGTTGCCAACCATACGTGGTCGTTTGTCATGTACCGTCATGAACGAGACTATTGCTCTTGTTAGGCGCTGCTATCAAAGGAATCCATTGGATCACATTGAGATATGGTTAATGAGTGAAACCAGTGGTGACATTGAATGGCATAAACAGTGGAGCATCGATTGTGGTGCAAGCATACTCCAGCACGAGTCATTGTATCCGCCAACGGAATATCTAACTTGGGATGAAGATTGGAATCCAATAGGAATTTGGAATCAGGGTGGCCATTTTTATCTGTTGGCATTTCCTTTTATTAGGAAGTTTGACAATACTGGTTTCGGCAGACATCGTTGGTTTTCATGTGAAGACAACTATAAACCATATCTTGTTTCAGTCGATTTGGAAACGCAAGAAATGAAGCTCATTTATTTAACTCAAGAAAGCAAATGTGTTAAAATTGTTGCAAATTCATCAGGAAGGTATGTTCAAGTTTTCTCCGAGAGCACTGCTGAAGCAACCCAATTATGGACGCGTTCCTTGTCAAAATGCGAAGCATGTGCTCGAATTTACAACCCAAGTCTACAGATGCTATAGATAATGACATTGGTGATTGTTATTTAGTTTTACTAACGTTTCTTACTTTCTTTTCACTTTCTCTTGAACCGGTTGAGAGCTACGAAGTACGTAGTATTATTTTGCTTTATTATGATAAATAAAGGCTTCATTTTAGTGCAATATTGTCTTGAATTTAGTTAGGGGTGGGCATAACGGTTTGGTTTAACCGAACCGAACCGTACCAAACCGAACTAAACCGAACCGAAACCGAACCGTATGCAATTTGGTTTTAGTTTGGTACTATTTCTTTCAAACCGTATTAAACCGAACCGAACCGAACCGAAACCGATAAAAACCGAACAAAACCGAACCGAACCGAACAACAAACACACACACACTTTGTATTTATCTTCACTCTTCATTTTAAGATACAAATAAAAAATTTAGACATGAAAATGCATATTTAAGCATATACTCGTATTATTTTAACTTTTACACATTTCAAACATTCATTATGACAAAGTTAGCTAATACGACATATTTGTATTTATTATGGTTGGCGATATCAATAGCAAATTGTATTTATATTTCTATTTCTATTTCTGTGTGTCTTTGGTTTAGTTTGTTTCAATTGGTTTAGCAGGTGAAGGCAGGTTGTTTAAGCTAGGTTCTAGTATTTCATTTAGTTGGAATTTCAATTGGCAGGTTGTTTAAGCAGGTGAAGACAGATTGTTCAATTGGTTTGGTGAAGGCTGGTTCTAGTATTTCATTTAGTTGGAATTTCAATGAAAACAAAACATTCAAAATTACTCAAAGTGGATTGTAACATATGAAACAAGACATAATCATTTTCAAGTTTATAAACCGAACATCAAACCGAACACCAAACCGAACCGAACCGAATTTTTCCCAAACCGAACCGAAACCAAACCGAAATTCTTTTGGTTTGAGTTTGGTACTATTTTTCTCAAACCGAATAAACCGAAACCGAACCGAAACCGATAAAAACCGAACCGTAAACCGATTCGCCCACCCCTAAATTTAGTGTTAAGTGTTATGCATTGTGGCATCTGGAGAGACTGTTTTTAGGATGTTTTTACTTGAACCGAAATTTGATGGTCTGGTCTGGTCTGTTTAAGTCTAGTCTGATCAGGTAAATGTTTGATTACTTTGTATTTTGTAACCTCATAAATTTGATCTGGTCTGATCTGATCTGTTTAAATATGATCTGGTCTGGGACTGGAAAAACATCCTTACTAGAATTCTTGACATTGAATATTGTATGTCTTATCCCTTCATTCCCTTGCCATCAAAGTTTTTGCTTATATATATTTATTAAATTTAATTTTAAAAGTAATAGAAATTATTATGAGTACAATAAGATCTTAAAAGGCAGAACTATTGAAATCTGAAACTGCTATATATGGTGACTATCTGTAAATTTTTTTTACATGCTACTCCGTATTTAAATATTTTTAGTGCACTCTTGAAGTATTTTGTTATGTATTGTGATTTGTGACGCGTGTGAAACCACATTTTCAGTTTTATTTATTTAATATTTCGTATAATAGTATTTAAAATTAGAAAAGAGGAATGATAGTATTTTTAAACTTATAAAAAGGGGTTTCCATAAGCATTATTGAAATAAAATGTATGAATAAAAATGTGACTATAGACTAAAATTATTAATTTATTACGTAGTATGAGTGTATTGTAGCTGTAGTAAGAGTATACAATTGAGCATTATAAATTATAAAAGGAGCTCAAAATTCCACATTAGAACTATATGTCTATACTTCTTTTATTCCCAAAATAAGAGATATATGTCTCTTCTTCCTATTCTATCCCCAACCTACAATTTCAAATAGATTTATTTGTTATAAATAAAAGTCATAGTTTTATTAATAATAAAAAACACAAAAAATCGAAAAAAAATATAAATTATTATAAATTGGGGGAAAATAAAATAAAATAAAAAAAGGAAAAATAAAAAATAAAAAAAATATTTAAAAAAATATTAAAAAATCTAAGAAAATTGAATAAAATACCTAAAACAATATTACAAAATATGTAGGCCACTACCTCCGCATCCTCCACCTCCCAGCACCACTACTTCTGATTGTCGGGAAAAATATGTCATCTTATGTAAAAAAAAACATGCCACATTTTTTCTGATAATGTCATGAAGAGATGTCATTTTTACTCTTTGAAAATATCCAATTTTCTATTCGAAATTTCCATCGCAATGACATATTTTTCCCCAAGTTGGCAATGTTTTCCGGCGATCGGAGGTGGTGGTGCTGGAAGGTAGCTGAGGTGGTGGTTAAGCTTTGTATATTTTTTTATTTATTTTTTACAATTTTTATTTTTTTTATTTTTATTTTTTTTATGTTTTATAATGATTATTTAAAAAATCCTATTAGGAAAGACAAGGGAAAGGTAGAATAGAAAGAGTTAGTCCTATTGTACGAATTTTAACTTTAAACTCTTATTGTTGCAATTATCCTTTTATTTAGTCCTATTAAGGAAAATCTTTCTAGAAATTAATGTTACAATTATAGTCATTCAAATTTTAAAGTTCATGACATAAAATAGAAATAGCTATTGTTGGGCACAAAAAGGTAGAACCAGGCAACACTTAAACAAATCAAACTAGATCAAATTAGACTTCACAATTGTAAAATATTTTCTCCATATATTAAAACAAGTATCTTACTAGCGAGCTTTTCACGTAGTTTATGACAATTTATAACTTCTTTTAAAGTGTACTGAGCTGCTTTTAAGGTCAATTTCTTTCCCGCGGAAATGAGACAATTATTTTGATATACCCAAAAGAGAAAGTGTGACATTTATTTTGATATGGATGGAGTATAGGATTAGACCAAATTACTTTAGACTTGACTACAACTGACTAAACCAAAAAACTTTACTATAATTAAAAACATCCTTAGTTTAGGTCTCGACTGCCACACACTCACCCTGAGAATGCAAAAAAATCTCATGGCTTGTGCCTTGCCATTTTGAAAATCCAGAAACGTGTTGAAAAGGCAAAAATTTTGATTTAAAAAATTATCAAATAAGTTCTCATATGTGTATCTAAAAAGCCAATGAAGTTCTCATACTATGAAATCACTCGGTTAAACTCTTCAACGCCTATGTGGCACTAATAAGGAGAAAAGGTTACTACCACATAACTTTTTAGCAATGTTCTAAAAGGTATTAGGCGTTAATCGGACGCCAACCCAGCGGCCAGGCGGGCGCCTAGTCGGGGATTAGTCGAAGACAAAGAAATTGCATTTTTATCAATATTTTTGCATAAATATGATAAGTAATATTGTATTTCTGTATGTACAATACATATACATGATCACACTTGCATGTGAACTAGTGATAGACAATGACCTAGACAAAATAATATTCCAGTTTAGAGCAGATTCCAGATCCAGTCCAATTGGTGCTAAAAATTTACGGAGGCCCGAGATCCATATTTTTGGCCTCGGTAATACCATCTAATCTAGGTCCGATCGTGATTTTCACTAATTTTATATATTTTTAAACCATATATCTCCCTACCCACTTCTTTTTCATTTTTCCCACAGGTTCAGTGTCGGTATTGGCGTGGAACCTTATTTTTCAGGTCGTGATCTGCATTCAAAAACTGGTCAATATCGGGTTCGAGACCTTATTCACCTATAGTGTAAATCATGAAAGTATTTTCATGCAAATTTTAATCAAGTACAATAAGGGGCGGAGGGAAGTACACTTTCTGGAAATACACTTTCTGGCAAAAAAATTGACATTGGCGGTATATTTTATGGTGAATTATCTGTAAGAATGTGTACTTTCATGTGTGGAAGTACTAAAATTGTAAAAAATTACTACCTCCATCTCACTATGTTTGGGACAATTCGGTTTACGATGTTTGACCGATGATAAAGCAAACAGATCTCAGTTCACACTAGAATTATTTTTAGATTTTTTTTATATATTCAGAAACTACAAAAAACTTTACAAAGTCGCAAAAACCAAAATCAAATTTGATAAAAACTTGATATACAAAGTAAGAGATCAAGAGTGATTTGTATTGAACAAGTGAATACTTTTGGGACAATCTTAACGGGACGGAGGGAGTAATAATTACATGACCAAATTTACGAGCGAGTGAAGTATCGTATCAGAACTAAAAACGAGCACAGAGTAAATTCATGACACTAAAATTATGGATCTCCCTTTATATTTTAGTACTTGCATCATATTCTGGCCCCCCTTGCATCATATTCTGGCCCCCTTGCATCATATTCTAGCCCCCCCCCCCCCCCCCCCCCCCCCGCAATGAAGTATGGCTCCACCCCCGAGTACAAATGTACAATTGTCAATAGCATACTACAGATTTTAAATTTATTTCTCAAAATACTAGTTTTCTACACGTGTGTTGCGCGATTGACAAACTATATTTCTCACACAAACTTTAATATTTAACTCTATATTAAGACATATTACCTCCATTCTTTTTTTATCGCAACATCGGCGAATCTTGCACTATTCACATACTTTACTTTGACTACATTGTATTTACCAATGTAGTATAAATTAATTTTTAAAACAATATTGTTAAAATCTTCCCAATTTAAAATTTCAAAATATGAAATTTTTAATTTTTTAGTAATAAAAAATGAAATATATTAATGATCCAAGTTGTGTGTTGGCAAACGTCAAAAGCGGACCGTTGCAACTAAAAGAAAACAGATAGAAGTATTACATATAGGAGAATGGATATTTTTGTGCCTTCGGATTCCCGCTCAAGGGCGTTTTCAACCGCACAAGGAAAAGGTGTGAAAGAAGTTTCATTTATCTTAGGAATAAGACAACCTAAGAGCTAAGTGGGTTTCAGATTAAGGGCCATCAAAATACTTTCTCACAAAAAATCAAACCCGCGAACCAAACATGAATATTTCATATTCCGGATATCATATTCTTGTCTGCATAGATGATTACCTCGAACTAAACATGCCCTTTGATGGAGTATATGGACTCCGACCCCCCGGTCTGCCGACTACTGGGCCTGGACAGCGGCCCACACACATTTAGCGAATTCATATTATTGTACATTATTATCATTAAGATGTTCTAGATTAGCTTTTTATACTATCAGTCCATTTATGTAACCGGGTCTGTCAGGC